GCAGAATTCTCAGATGTATCCTTATGGTAAGTTATGAAGATGAATCTTCTCATAACATTAAGTAGGTTCATTTAGTTCACCTCTCAGATTTCTCAGACACTAGCTAAGACTCTTAACATTCCTTGGAATTTTCATATCCCATACCATCCTCAATCCTCAGGAAAGGTGGAGCGTACCAACCAGTCTTTAAAAACTATTCTTACTAAGATGTCACAGGAACTTCAACTTGACTGGGTAAGATTATTGCTTCTAGCTCTTCTCAGGCTCAGGACTCTTCCTAAAAAGCCTCTTTCATTTTCTCCATTTGAACTAATGTATGGAAGGCCAGTTCTAACACCAGGTCTTTTATCCAACCCTCCAACTGTTCCAGATAGCCTGTTAACTCCCCTTTTATGTCACCTAAGGTCTATCCTATGGAAGTATGCAGACTGTTTATTACCTCAGCAATCAATAATTGTCCACCTCCAATCCACATTAGGGATCAGGTTCTTCTCTTTCCTTAAGGCTAGCACCATTCACTCCGTCCCCCAAAGTGGCAGGGACCCTTCAAGGTAATTCTTGTGACTCCTACAGCTGCTAAACTCAAGGGCTTTCCTCACTGGGTCCACCAGTCTCATCTAAAACCTTTTATCTCACCTCTATCCCAGAAAAATCTCTGTTCATATACCGTAAAACAAACAGGTCCTAGTACTCTCAAGCTCCAAAGGACATCAGGATTCACTGCCTTGTCACCAATTCCAGAGGAATGAGGCATCACCCCTTCCTTTCTCAAATAGGGCCACACAGAGCCAGAGGCAAAAGGACCATCAGAAATATCCAGGTGGTAAGGAATAATGTAATACAACAGTCAATCATTATTCAATACTCAGCAACTGATCACCTGCATTTCCTAAATGTCAAATTAATGAAGGAAACAGGTGTCATAAATAAACTACCTCTAATAAGACTTCTCTCAGGTAAAAATTAAGCAGAATACTGAGGCTAGATCTACCTCAGATAAATGTCAACTCCAAAAATAAAATAATAATGATTCTTTTTTCTCTAAGCTTTTTCTATGTCACCAGTATCTTGTCAGACAAAAGGTTCCCAGCCACACCACGAAGGATGGACAGCTACAGAACAAAGGGATGACAAAACTTCATTCCAGGACCCCCACCATCATCCCAGGATTCACAAGCTACCCTCCCCATTTCCCCCAAAAGCCAACTGATGCCCACTATTCAGCCGGAAGCAGTCTTTGAGAGAAAAGATGCCCCATACCTACTCAAACCCCATTTTTCCTTTTTTTAAAAAAAAAAAACAAGAGTTAGGGATGATAGATTCACAACACACCCCCATGGTTGGGCATGGTTGTGCAAGCCTGGCAGACCTATGTTGAACCCCAAAGTTTAGGGTCTCAAGTGGGCACCCCAAGAACCCAGACTCCAGTCCAGTTGATGCAACAGCACAAGGATTTTATTGGCTTCTGTACAGAAGGGCAAACTCTGCTCCTAAGAATAAGAGCCGCCTCTTACTGCAGCCACATGGGGGTTTTTAAGGGAAAACCCCACAAAAGCCATAAGATTACAATTCCCATACAATTTTGTTTCACAAGAACATGGTCTGATCACAGAGTGGGTACAGTCACATCCACATGTACATTCTTCCTGAAACCTCAAGGGGGGCTTCAGGGTGGGAGTGGAGATAACACAAAGGTCACAGTGGTCCTTCCTGGAACACCTGCAACTATCCCAGCACATCTCTTAACAGAAATCTTTTTTTTTTTTTGTTTTTTTGTTTTGTTTTTTGAGACAGGGTTTCTCTGTGTAGCCTTGCACCTTACCTGGATCTCGCTCTGTAGACCAGGCTGGCCTCGAACTCACAAAGATCCACCTGCCTCTGCCTCCCGAGTGCTGGGATTAAAGGCGTGCGCCACCACCACCCGGCCAACAGAAATCTTTTTACATTGTTATATTGTTACAGGTTGAATAATGGCTGAGTCAGGGTGCCCTTGGAACTAGTTTTCTTTTTAGTTCCTTATTTCCTGGGGCTTGGGGGTATAAGCCTGAAGGCTTAGAGGATTCATTCCCCAATTTTCTTTTTGGCAAATTTTAATCTTAAAATTATGGTATTGCACTTAGAAACTCATGACCTATTTTAATAACTCATAGCCTGTAGTGGTCATGCATAGTCCATGTATAGTTAGCATCTTGTCTCTATGCCAGGGAGTTTTCTTTTGACCCAGCATTTCAGCCTTTTCTGAACAAGGAATATGGGATGACAAACTGCTTCGAGCTGGCATTGGGGCACCGTTGTCAGGGCCCGCACCCCCAAAAGGCTGAAAAACTGGTCAAAGACTGGGCAGGGGGCATTTGTCAGTAGCATGTAGCTGCCTGACCGCCTAGGGACAGAGAAGAATCATGTTAGCTGGGCTGGTCCACGTTAGCCCTTAGCAAGTCCAGAACCCACAGTTGTCTGAAGCAGTGGAGTCAGCAACTGAAACTTGGAGGTGTCTGCCAGCCAAGTGGAAATATGTTGAGACAAATTTAAACTAGGAGCTGAAGTTAAAATTTATGAACTTATTTGGAACCCTTAGGTCCATACCCTTAGTAATGGGAAAAGCAGTAGTCCCAAGACCAGGAGAGAGGAAAAATACCATCTTTAGGAATACTTATCTGGGTCCTTTCGACCTCTGTGAAGTGGCTCTAGGTTTTTATGACTCTTTTGATCCTTTGAGGTCTATTTATAAAATGACATAAAAGTTTTAGATACATTAGTATTATCAATCTGTACTGAAATCCATATTGTAGACAAAGCAGGTAATGGGTATCTGTAAAACAGCAGAAGTGGACTCAGACCTTTGAGTCCCAACAAGAACTACACATTTAGGCTTTTTTTTTTTTTTCTGTCCAGAAAGCCAGGTATAAGTTGGACAGAGATTTTTGGCCTGGTGAGAAGCATTTTTAGTTTTACATTTAGACATATTTAGATGACATCTAAAACAAATCTAAAATGTTGGGCTTGTGACTGAACAGTAAGTAGTCATTGCTCCACCAGCTCATCAGGACTCCTAAAGGTTAAGCTCTGAACCATAGAAGAGGAAAGTAATCTGAAACATATCTCATTTTAGACTCATATCTGAATCTTTATGACTTATTTAAACTTTTATATTTTAGAACATTTTTTTAAAAGTGAGCTAACAAGCCAGCTATGGCCTTGTAGAAGGATCTGGTTGTCTGATGCTGCCATGCTGACAAAGTTAGAGCTAGCCTAGCCATCAGTACTGTCAGAGATCCAAGAAGGATAAACTATGTCTGAGTGCAGACCAAGAAGCATCCAATCCTATAAATTACAGGGATCAATCCCTACCCAGGCCTCCATAGCATTGGAGGCACCAGTTAGAACAGCATCAATCTTCTTCTGCCATCAGACCCACAAGGCAGAGTATTTTTCCTGTGGAATAGGGACACAGAAGACTGACCTCGACCAGGCAAAAGGGTGCATTCAATTCCAGTGTCCTACTACTTGTCCACAGTCTGGGCTGGGTCCTGGCGGCAGGCGTTGCATTGGGGCATCTTGCCCTGTGGTCAGCATTGTCATAATCCAGGCAGAGACGTTGTGGTGTCTCATACGTAATCTTTTTCAGAGATCTTGGTCACTGCTAGGATCTGGAAGCCTGTCTGATATAATAAACTTTTAGATCAACATTTAAATGCCATATTCTACAGATCTCTGAAGTATGAGGGCCATCTATGTGTCTGAATAGACAAACCTTATTTCTAATTACTTGTTTCAAGCTCAACTCTGAAAACATATGCAAGGGACTGAGTAAATGCATAAATTTATCCTTGTAATATTACATCAGTACTTATTTACCCTGACTACAATTAAAAAGAAACTTGATTACTCAAGACTGACTATTAAAAACAATGCTTTTAAGTTGAAGCTTCTTCTAGCATCAAATACAGGTTCAGTAAAGAAGCCAAAACAAAATATCAATATATGTATCAGCTTATCCAAATAACTTAAGTTTAACAAACTTAGCAAATACAAGGAGGCTAGACAACACTTTCAAGCCTGAATGTACCTTGGGTAAGGAGAAACATTTTTAAGTCATTGGTTTTTAACTATAAAAACTGTTCTTAAAGGATTAAGATTTTTCAAATGTTTTTTGTAATAACAATAAGGTATCCTTTTTTTTTTTACTTTAAGGGGGAGAAAACATGGCATCCTCTTAATCTGAAACCAAGCTCCAGAGTACAAATAATCTGAAAGCTTAATATCTGGGACTCATTTATAATTTTTTTGGTTCTTTTACTTAGAAGCTTGGACGATTTCTTTGATCCTACCTTTGGCAGCACATACATAGTCTGTCTGCTCTATTTTATTATGGCTGGTGCTTTCCGGTGATCATCACCTGACACTGGCAATTTTTAAAACTGCTAAGGTCTGCCATTGCAACCAGACTCTTTTTGGAACTTTAGTCCTTCCATATATTTGCAAACCTCATCTGTTTCCTATGATTCTTTTATGTTTTTAAAATCATTATCATTTTACATGGGTAAATCTTAAATTACAAAGTTAAGCTGTCAGAGCAAGATATATTCCTGTGTATAAAAGCATTGATGTGTAGCTTTAATATTTATTAAATATCTTAAACATATGTTGTTATCTATTTAAATTTTCTAGAAACTTGTTATTGAACATTTGGTAAAGACATATGTACTTAGGTGATATATATATATATATATATATATATATATATATATATATCAATAATTACTTGCACACATATACACAGTTGGATCCAAGTTACATACATACATGCATACAGTTAAAGCTTGCTTACATTTCTAAGTTACATACCTGTCCATATATATATATATATATATATATATATATATATATATATATATATATATATATATGCAGTTTGCAGAATCATTAGCCATTTTTAAGCTGAAAACCAACCAGAATTAACTTTCAAATTCAGTATTTGCAGGTATAAACAGTTTACTGACCTTTTACATCATCGCCTCATATAGGGAGTGACATTCCATTCTTTGAGCCAGACCCTGATCAGGTTTTAGCCCCAGGGCCGGTTTTTGGAGCCCCATCCAACAGCATGGGAGATTCCATGCCCTGGCTGGGCCCACAGACCTGTCAGCTGTGACACTGGAAGGGCAGTTAGTTTTCCACCATCCCCACATTCTGAGCTCCTAGAGGCTCCAGCTGGCTCCTGGCCAGCTCTGCCCTGATGCTTACAGGCAGCCTAGCCAGTGTCTCTTCTCTCCTCAGCCCCATCACGGCGGGAGCCCCGGCCGCTGCTTGGGTGAAGGAAGGGATCCCGGCAGGGAGAGTGGTCTCGGCCGGGAGAGTTCGCCTCTGTCGCCTTCTTGGAGGATTTTTTTCCGGGAGGATCGGTCTCGGCCGGGAGAGTTCGCCTCTGTCGCCTTCTTGGAGGATTTTTTTCCGGGAGGATCGATCCTCTGGAAGGACTGGGGGGGGGGGGGGGGGGGGGGGGGGGGGGGGGGGGGGGGGGGGGCGCCGGGGGGGGGGGGGAGGTTCAGCACAGTGAGCAGCGCCAGCGCGAGGCATGAATCCCACCCACCAGGCCAGGGGGAGCATGAGTCCCGCCTGCCAGCAGGAGTCCCGCCATTGCCCGCAGAGGCGGCAGCGGCACGGAGAACAAGGGCAAATCCCGCCCGCCAGTGGAAGTCCCGCCATAGCCAGCACCAGGCGGCAGCGGCAGCGGCCGCTGCATCAGCGGGGGCCCGGGCGCAGATGAAAGGGAGCTCAGGCCCGCACTCAGTGTTCGCCAGGCCGCAGGGCGAGGCGCTCAGGTGGCTCAGGGCCCCTGAAGGTGGGGAGGGGGGAGAGTGCAGATAAAGGGGAAATGGGGTAGAGGGAATTAGATAAAACATAACACAAAACATGAAATAGACTGACACAGTCTGCAAGATAGTTGATTTGGCTACAAATCCGAAAACGCAAATTCAAATGGGAGTGGCCGAGAACAGCCTCGCTCCCCCAGGGAAGGAGAGACTCCTCTCCTTCTTCAGATCACTTCAGAGGACACCTCCTGAGTGGGGACCAGGGGGACCTCTGCTCTCTGCTCTCCCACACAAGTCCCAGACACAAGTCCTGCACACTTCTGCAGGCACCGAATACAAATGCCAAATCAACCAGACAAAGGACAAGACATAATAACATAAAACATAGATCCAGCTCGTTTTTACCTCCAACTGGCAGAGTGGGGGTCTGGGAGCACCCCAAAAATCTCAGTGGGACCTCCAATGTTGGACCCCAAAGTTTAGGGTCTCAAGTGGGCGCCCCAAGAACCCAGACTCCAGTCCAGTTGATGCAACAGCACAAGGATTTTATTGGCTTCTGTACAGAAGGGCAAACTCTGCTCCTAAGAGCAAGAGCCACCTCTTACTGCAGCCACATGGGGGTTTTTAAAGGAAAACCCCACAAAAGCCATAAGATTACAATTCCCATACAATTTCGTTTCACAAGATCATGGTCTGATCACAGAGTGGGTACAGTCACATCCACATGTACATTCTTCCTGAAACCTCAAGGAGGGTACCAGGGCAGGAGTGGAGTTTACACAAAAGTCACAGTGGTCCTTCCTGGAACATCTGCAACTACCCCAGTCACAGTTGAGCACATCTCTTAACAGAAATCTTTTTACATTGTTATATTGTTACAGGTTGAATAATGGCTGAGTCAGGTTGTCCTTGGAACTAATTTTCTTTTTAGTTCCTTATTTCCTGGGGCTTGGCAGTATAAACCTGAAGGGTTAGGGTCTTTCACCTAGACACATCCGCCTAGCCATTTCCGGGTCAAAATAGCCATTTCTGGATCAAAGCGTCTGGCGTGACCAGAACCCTGTGGCTTTGCATGGCTGCATAAAACGTGCAGCACAACCATGTGATCTACACACATGTGTAGAGTAGCCATGTGAGCCTGTGTACACATGCATGACCAAGCCTTTATGAGCCGGCACCATATTCCCAGCTTCCCTCTTTATGCACATGTCTTTCCCACAGGTCTATCATGTCCTTCTCTCTCTCTTATCTTAATAAAACTCTTGTTAGTGGATTCTGTCATGTTTCATGACATTTTCTCGCAGGGTAAGAGCACCGCCAAATAACTAAAACAGAAAGTCAATAAAAAGACAGATACATGGGAATTAGGTCTTTTTCTGAGGGGAAGGACAACAGTGGCAGCTAAGGGTAAGAAAGATTTTTTTTTAGTATCAGCTCATAGCTACTGCTCTGACCTCTTGGGCTTTTAGCTCTGCATTTGGCTCTGCGTTTCTTATTTAATAAGACTGTTACATCTATATTTGGTGCCCAACGTGGCAAGGATTCATTAAAAACTGCTCAGCTTGACTCAGCTTGGCTGGACTTGGCGGCCTTGGCAGGCCCTGCTCCCCAGCTCAGGCCACCTTGGCCTAGGCCCCAGGCCTGACTGATTGTAGCTACAAGTGGTTGCCTGCAGCTGGAGCTACTTGCTTAAAGCTGGTGCTACGAACACAGGCCTGCTGGAGCTACTGCTAATTGCAGTAGCTACATGCAACTTCAGATAGAGTTGCTTTCGGCTGAAATGCTAACTCACATGGTCAGAGCTTAAGGAAGCCAGAGCCCAGGCTAGACTCAACTCAAACAGGGACACGTGGCTAAATTTAAACATTTAGCCACAACTTGTGGCTATGCATTCTCTCTCTCTCCCTCCCTCTCTCTCTCTCTCTCTCTCTCTCTCTCTCTCTCTCTCTCTCTCTCTCTTTGGATTCACACCTCAGAGGCTAGGTAGCTATTTTGAAATTCCCTCAGATTTCTACTGTTCTATGCAGACTTGCTAAGTCAATTAAGATATCAGATATTTTAAAGGAAAAAACGATTTAAAAGAGAAAAAATTTTTCCACATTTAAAAAAATGGATTTTATGTGTACATTGGAAGAAAATTGGGCTTTGTTTGATAAAATTTTAGGCAGTCTGAAAATGGAACAACTATATAAGAAGATTAATGTTGATGGGGTTATGCACATTATTACTTTCCTTATCCTTATTTTATTATTTAAAAAGATAGTCAATTTAAGTACCAGGATAAAAGCTTTAGAAAAACCTGTTAAAATGAATAACAGAGAAATTCAGATTCAGACAGAAGAAATTAATGGTAAAATTGTTTCAGGATTGGATTATAAGGTTACAGAAAGAAATCCAGTTTTCACACAATCACCCTTAATTTATCCAGTAATCGTACAGCAGGTACCTGGTCAAGTGAATGCACTAAATATTTGGACTCCAATTGAAATGTTAGATTTATGAAGGTTTAAGGAGGCAATAGTATCTTATGGCATGCATTTCCCATTTGTAAAGCAAATGTTAAACTCCTGGTCAACTTATAATAAGATTATACCACAGGATTGGTGAGAGCTGGTAAATGCTATCCTGGAAGGCAGAGCACAGCTGCAGTGGCAAATGTGGTTCCAAGAGGAAGCTAAAAACATAGAAAATTAATGGAGGGCTAAAGGTATACAAATCTTTCAGAATCAGCCTGTTGGAGAAGGCCAATATGCTGCAATACAAACACAATGTTTATATGATATCCAAACCCTAATTCTATGTCGAATGGCAGCCTTGAATGAATGGGACAGAGTTGAGGAATGAGGAAAGAAAACTAAGTCATTTACAAAGGTTATACAGGGCTCCAAAGAATCTTTCACAGATTTCTTACAAAGACTGACTTTAGCAGTAAAGAGAATGTCCCAAATTCAGAAGCTAGCCAGATAATAATCGAACCTTTGGCTTTTGAGAACATGAATGCAGCATGCAAGAGAATAATCAGGCCATTAAAGGTAAGATCTGTACCCTTGGAAGATTGGATTAGAGATATGCTTAATATTGAGGCTCATGACCACGATGATATGTGGATAGGAGAAGCAATTTCAAGAGGTTGGAGGAATGTCAGATGTTTTGAATGTGGAAAGCAAGGAGGTCTGAAAAGGGACTTTAAACAGAGCATTCCTAGAAACAATGTTTCTTCAAGGAACAATGGCAACAGAATGCCCCTTCCTTCTGGAGTGTGCAGAAGTGTGGTAAGGGAAAACACTGGACCAAGGAATGTACATCAACAAGGGACAGGCAAGGTAATACTTTGTCTCGGTCTTTGGGAAACTCCCAGAGGGACTTCAGGCAGGCCCCCACAGCAAATCTAGTTCAGACCTTTCCTGCAGTCATAGAGGAAACCCCTACTCAGAGCAATTAAGTAACCAAATGAGTATTGGAATAAACCAGGCTGCTCAGGGTGATGAAACAGCTGAGACAGAGAGAACAGAAAATTCAGGAGAAAACATAAAGAAAAGTTTTTGGCAAATTTCTATAAATGAACAAACACCAAAATTAACAATAAAAATAAATGGTGTTTTGTTGTCTGGTCTGGTAGACACAGGTGTTGACGTTACCATAATTGCACCAGAATTTTGTCATCCAACTTGGCCTCTTCAGATGGTAAATGTTCAACTGTTAGGAATTGGAATAGTATCTCAAGTGAAACAGAGTGCAACATGACTCGAATGTATTGGTCCAGAAGGACAGAGAGGAAAATTAAAACCATATGTGGCTAACATAGCTATGAACCTGTGGGGTCAAGACCTGTTGCAACAGGAATACTCAGATTAAGATCCCTCCCACCTCAGAAACAAAACATAAACAAGCACAGGTTTCTGAGAGAGATATTAGAAGGTATTATTCTAATGAGTGATCACAGCCATCCATATTATACAAGAACAGGGCACAACAACTGATTATCTTCCAAAGACACCAACAGCTCTACCTTTAAAATGGTTAACAAACAAGCTTGTATGGGTTCATCAATGGCCTTTAACAACAGAGAAACTCCAGGCTTTAGAAGAGCTGGTAGAAGAACAGTTAAATGCTCAGCATATTGAAGAATCAACCAGCCCTTGGAATTCTCCTGTATTTGTCATTAAAAAGAAATCTGGTAAATGGAGAATGATAACAGACCTTAGAGCAATTACCAAAGTAATTCAGCCAATGGGCTCTCTACAATTTGGGATTCCTTTGCCTACTCTGTTAACAAAAGGATGGCTTCTCATAGCTATTGATTTAAAAGACTGTTTCTTTTCAATACCCTTACAAGAAAAAGAGAAAGATTTGCCTTCACAGTGCCTACTTACAATAGTTCTCAACTGGTTAAAAGATATCAATGGAGTGTCCTCCCACAGGGAGTGTTGAATAGTTCAACCCTGTGCCAATATTTTGTACAACAGCCATTGGAAGTGATATGTAAAAAATTTCCTAAATCTATAATTTATCATTATATGGATATTTTACTAGCTGACTCAAATGCAGATACTTTAGAAAGAATGTTTGAAGAAGTAAAGAAAATTTGGCCTCGCTGGGGATTACAAATAGCTCCTGAAAAGGTACAAAGATGAGTTTCTATTAATTATTTAGGATATAAAATAGAGCTACAAAAAAATTAGACCCCAAAGGGTGCAAATTAGGAGAGATCGACTACAGACTCTTAATGACTTTCAAAGATTACTTGGAGACATTTCTCATCTACGAACTATTGTTGGGGTAAAAAATGATGAACTGAATAATTTGTTCAAAACCTTGGAAGGTGACAAGGACTTAAATAGTCCAAGAGAATTATCACCTGATGCTGAGAAAGAATTGGCATTGGTAGAAAAGAAAGTACATGAAAGACACAAGGATTGTATCGATCCAAAGCTGGATTACATTTTGGTTATTTTACCTTCTAGGCATTCTCCTACAGGAATATTAATGCAGAGAGAAGATATTATATTGGAATGGATATTTTTACCAAATAAACCAAATAAAAAATTAAAAACTTATGTGGAAAAAATCTCTAATTTGATTTGGAAAAAAAAAATTGAGACTTCGTCAATTAGCAGGAATAGACGCAGCAGAAATTGCCATACCTTTAACTAAGGAGGACATTGAAAAATTATGAACAGAAAATGAACCTCGGCAAAGAGCCTGCAGTAGTTTTTTGGGAGAAATTAACAACAAATACCCCAAAAGTGATAGAAGTGATAGGATTTTTAGTATCAGTTCTTAGCTACTGCTCTGACAGCTTGGGCTTTTAACTCTGCATTTGGCTCTGTGTTTCTTATTTAATAAGACTGTTACATCTAGAGAACAGAAAGATGAAGGTACTGTTACAAGTCCTGCAGGACCATCCAGAAGAGGATTTTCTTCTTCTGAATTATTGGGCCCACACTACTGGACCTTTGTACTCAGGTTCATGTCATTGACTATAGAGAGTTGTGATCCATTGACAGTTCATTCTATCACAACTCACCAAT